CAAGTAGCATCTCGTTCCTAGTAGCGATGCCAGGAGCCCCCAGTAGCTTCCTTGCTCCTAGTAGCTTCCTTGAAGAACAGCCAGGTGAGGGAGAAATTGGATGCCGACCTCGAAGAGGTGGAGCTGGACCATGAGCGAAAGCACTACGAGGCGGGCAGACCGGCGGAGTTTGGCGTGGGTGGCGAAGGGGGTCGTTTGCTGGCGTCTCTGGTGGCCATACATGGCCTGTCGGTCGAAGCGGTTCCCTTTTTTTTTTCGGTGGACTCCGAGGTCGATGATCAGGAAGAGATGGAGGGCCAATTCAACTTGCAAGCCTTGGTGAAGAAAGTTGAGGCGTGCACCGCTCGCCGGGGCTATTTTAGCTGATGCGCTTGAGTTATGATGGGCCTTCCAAATGTTGGGTCTCTACAGGAGCAGGAGGAAAGAAGAGAAGCGGCAGAAGAAGCTGGTGCGCCTTTGAGAATGGGGCTGCGTGACTATGTGCAGTTCTTCATTGAGCTTCATGGCCTGGTGTGCTTGTTGAAAGGTCAAGATGTTGATAGCGATGATGGGCTTCATGATATGGCAAAGCCCAAGAAAAAGAAAGCAAAGAAAGAGAAGGCCGTGAGCATCAGCCAACCGCACCGTTTGACTGCCTCATGCCCGCCTTCATGGCAGGTTTCACCTGAATCCATCGTGGAGAAGGCTTGGGATTTCATCATTTCAGAGACTTCTCAACCCTTCAAAGCCTGACGGCACCGGTGCAGGCGTTGCTTTTGATCGAGCACACCTTCGTGGCGCGCGAATCCATTAAGAAGGACAGCTCTTTGGGACACGTGCCTCACAGGCCTCGCAGCTGGAGTCGCAGCCCCTGGATGGAACACACACACGACTGATTTGGTCAGGACTATTCGCGCCTGGATGGCAATTTCGTTGCCCGGGACCTGGATCCTGTCATCCAAAGATGGGAGGCAGGGCATGGGAACTGTCGAAGGTTCAAGTATCGAATATGATATATAAAACATATATATAATGTATACCTGCGTATGGACTGTTGATATCAATTAAACGGTCGATGTGCTTGGCTTGCAAATAATAGGCATGTTGGGAAGCCCCACTTGATCACTTGACCTTTTTCGTACCAGATACCCGGGGTTCATGAGGATTTTGAGGCGTACATCCTGAAAGTAACGGTCTTCGCAGGCTCTGGAGCGGATTTCAGAGGCGCCAGATGAGTTGCCGAAATCTGAGGGACAAGCCTTACCTTGCCCAGGCCCTCTTTGGCCCTCGCAGTCAATTGCCAACGCGCCGAGGTGCAAAGAAACCTTCGAAGTGATGTTGGCTCTAATACAACGAGGTGCAGATCTTCTGAAAGAGTTAGTGGCCAAGCGAATCCAAGCGATACCGGCCTTCTCTTCGTGCCCGTTGGACGGGTGTTTCTGCCGAGTACTGTATGTCCTGCTTAGGCTATCGCAGAATCGTTTGCAGCTCTCTGAGTTGAACAAGGTGGGTTGACATCATGCAAACCATGTTTTGGTAAAACTAACAGCAGGTTCATCGCTACTATCTTGGAGGCCATCGCTACTAGGTTGGAGGCCATCGCTATTCGTTTGTAAACAGCATTAAGCAGCAGGTTACCGACAGCGATGCGCCCCGGCTGCCGGAACATGTTCAACGGTTCGACGGTTCGACGCTGCCTCCGCCGGCCTCCGCCTCCTGGGAGCTCACAGGTCTTGAATCGCGTCACGACGTTGGGAGCTCAGCACCTTCGCATGAGTCTTTCACAACATTCAATACTTGCATGAGTATTGGAGTCGAAGCCATTCATCAGGGCATATCTCAGCGCTTATTGGCGCTGAGCTGCCGAAAGCAGACGTTCTGCCTGGCGCGAGGATTGAGAAGAGAGAGGAGCTCTACGAAGATGCCAAATGGGTCCAAGCCTGAGAGAATCATTGACCGGTCCTCCAACAATCAACAAACATATATATGGACATAAACCTTTCTGTTTGGTCGTCGGGAAGTTGCTGTCCTTCATGATGGGAGGTTTTACAACTCATCACCAAGGTGCACTCCTTCATGAAGACTCTTTAAACGTCAACCTCAAGTGGTTTTCCTACCTCTCCAGAACGACCGTGGACGACTTCCGTGACGAAGAAGCTGCAAGAGATGCAGTGGCACAGATGGCCAAAGACATGCCATGCACATTCGCCGCAAAAATCCCCGTGCCGATGTGTAGTGTGACGTGTTTGGCACTTTGATGCACTTGGCATTTTCCAGTTGGCAGACTGCAACTCGCCGCAGCGTTGCCTCAACCAGCGTGGGCACATGATGTGTTTTGACATGTTTGACGGATTTTGACGGAGTCGGCATATCCACATCATGGAACTGCTTCATGCACGGCAAGAAGTTCGGGCGGCAAGAATGGCATGATTGCAATAGGGCGGAAACGATTACAAATGCAGATGCACAATAAAAAAAGCAAGGCACTGCCCGAAAACCAAGTCTGAGCGTTGATATATGAGACAAGCCTTAAGATGTGCTGACAGCAGGGAACTGAACAAGCTTGAAGCAAGGATGTTGTAGGAATTTGATGGAATTTGTATGACGTTGGTCACTTGCGGACATTCCTCGACTCAGGCAACATAGAGAGGTGCGCTGCCGAACTCACGATCTGAGAAGAGAAAGTAGTATGCTTATTGGCAAGATATTTGTGTTTCAAGAGGCCAAGATCTGATTCAATCTCGGTCGGAGATGTGAGCTTGAAACGGCTTGAAGCACTTCCACTCAGAAAGCATCAGAAGGCCATAAAAGGCTGAGTCGGAAGAATTGTGGTTTCTATTTGCTACGAGGTGAGACACATATTAGCCGACAATCCAATAGTGTCCGCAAGCTTTTGGAGATGGAGTGGCAGCAATGTGTTTGAGTCTTGTCAGGATCGCATATCAAGAGCACTACCAATTTCCAGGAGGGGGTGAGCTGAGCCAAACTCGGGCTACCATACCCTACTCAATCCGCAAGCACCGGACAGCCGCAGGACATGGCATTGTGCAAGCTCCAGCCTTGGGCAGAAATGGGTTGCTGGATGTTGCTGTAGATTTGGTGTCATGATGGAACCCTGGCAGAGTTGGAGAGCTTTGCACCTTTGCAAAGTTCAGAATGCATCTGAAGGATCGCTATAGGCCCAGATTGTTGCAGCCATCTAGTGTTGCATGTATGCAGGTGTGTAATGGTTGGTAATCTGCGTATGTTTATTCGCACTGCTACGCGGCTGGTCCGCCCGCACCAGGAGAAATGTTTGTGCATGGTAATGTTGCGGCATCTGTGGTTTAGAGTATCGTTGCAAGCACTGGTGGTGGCTAGATTCATGTTTTGAGTGCTTTCATAAAAAAATGGATTCCCATCGTCCCGGTTCTACCTGGCCAATACGAACCCCAGCCAGCTAGAGCCGTACCATGAAGCCGCTGGTGACCGCTGGCCGATTCTACCTTTTTTTTCACCAAATCTTTCAAAAAGCAACGGTTTGTTTTACTTTTGCATACTTTGGAAAGAATGCCGCATGCCTCAAAATTGTGCATGTCCCAAAACCCTCATCAAATGCAGTTATGTACGAGGTTTTTGCACTCGATGTTCAACAACCTTCAGGTTTCTTGGCTAAAGCTGAAATCTTGGGAGTATGACTATGCCATCCGGATACCACGCCCCCTGCGGGCGGATTTTTGCAGCACCGCGCAGCCGCGAAGCTCAGACTTTCAACTGTAGAGCTGCTTCCTTTCCTTTTTGTATTTGGCATACCGGCATACCGGTCGACCGTGTGGGACAATGAATCAGGACATCAACTTGATCTTATCTGCCGGAGCACAGCCCACGAAAGATGCCTTGTTGACAGTCTTGGAGCCTATCATGTCAGAGTGGTCGGTGCACCCTAGATATGCTACGGCGACCCTGAACGAACTCAGCAAGCGGAAGCGCTCTGATCTAGTTGAGCTGGTTCTGGAATGCATGGAAGCTAGGCAGGTTGAAACAAATGTCTTCCACTACAGCGTTGCGATCACCGCAAGCGAAAAAGCCGCAGATTGGCCATTGGCCTTGCATTTTCTCTACCAGATGCATCTGTTGAAGATACAGGCCAATGAATACAGCTACAGTGCTGCCATCAGTGCATCAGAGAAATGTGGTGAGTGGACTTTGGCCCTGTCTCTTTTCACTGAGATGCGCAGCAAAAAGCTTGCACCCAATGAGGTGACCTACGGTGCCAGCATCAGTTCCTGTGCAGTTGGGCATTGGACCATCGCTCTGAACTTGCTGTCTCAATTGATGCAGGATTCCCTTCAACTCAATATCATCACCGTGAGTGCGGCAATCACTGCGTGCGAGAAGGCCTCCCAGTGGCAGCCAGCGGTTGACTTGTTGAGCCTTTTGGAGGCCAAGCGAGTCAGCCCTGACTGCATCAGCTTCAGCTCAGCCATCAGTGCGTGTGAAAAGCGAGGTTGCTGGGAGTTGGCCCTGTCATTATTTCACAGCATGAAAGGCAGATTTTTGGTTCCAGATGCGGGGGCCTTCAATGCAGGCATCAGTGCTTGTGCATCTGGTGGGCAGTGGAAGATTGCTTGCGATCTTCTGGGGAGGATGGGAGAGGCAAAGGCAGCTCCGGACCTGATCAGTTGCAGTGCTGCAATCAGAGCGTGCGACAAGTGCGAGAAGTGGGCACTGGTCTTGCAGCTATTTGAGGATAGCTGCTTATCCTCTATTCGACCGGACACGGTTTTCTTTAACTCAATCTTGCACAGTGTGGAGAAAATGGGACACTGGGAGCTTGCTTTAGCCCTCCTTCAGCAGATGCCCAGTAGCTCAGTAGAAGTGAACGAGCTCACTTATCGAGCTGCGATTGGAGCCTGCTTAGGGCACTGGCAACTTGCCATTGCGTTGTGTCAGGAGATGTGTGAGTTCACATCTCCAACAGCTATCTCCATGAGCACCGTGGTTCTTGTGTGTGCTAAGCAAGGCCAGTGGCAGGCGGCGGTGCAGCTCTTGAAGCAGATGCTGACCGACATTGGCTTCCCTGAGGGGCCGAGTGCATTTGATGCTCTAATCGATGCCTGTGATCGGGTCGGGAGCTGCGCTGCAGCAGCGAAACTGATGGATAGATGGAGTAGGGAAGTCACAAGTCTATCAAAGAGAATGCACAGTCTAGAGCGCTCCTGAGCCACAGTGCCAAGTCTGCTTTTGCAGCTTTTGATTCCTAGAATTTCCCTTGATTCATGACTTGGGAATGAATCAAGATCATGGTGCATGAGAGTCCACAAAAGAGTCGGATCCCATGTTGCCAGAATCTTGGATTGGACCTCCTTTTTCCCGCAGCGCCTTCAGAAGAACTGAGCGCAGACGAACCGCTCGTTTCGTCCGATCTTCAGGTTCTTCCGACCCGTGGCGACGCCGCAGCCGAAGCGAAAGCGGCTGCGTCTCATGTACCAGCATGACGAGGCCGGTCGGCCGACCGGTCCAGTCTGCGCATGGAGAAACAGGCTCGGCCGCTCGGTCCGGTTTGCGCACGCAGGAGATGGAGTGTCTGCTCATCACGTCGCCCAGCAGCTCAGCAAGTCTTTCAGGTAGCCAAGGGAGCCCAGATCTCGTGGAAGCCGAGAAAAGTGCGGCAGTCCATGAGGACCATTCTTCCACCTTGGTTTTAAAGCTTCAAAGCTTCTTGAGTTGGGTCCACCGGCGGAACGTCAGAAAGCCGTGTTCGAAGACGCAGGACAGTGACCTGGTCATGAAAGCGGTCATGCGAAGTATCTCTCTCACTGATCCCTTTACGCTTGGGCCTCAAACCTGGAGCACTCACAGCTGCAGTATGCTGCAGTAGGTTTGACATGAATCCCTGGAGGTTGCAGCTGATCGAGTGTGGCTCTTGGTCGCTGGAAAAAGCTCAAATTGGTTTTGGCTCTTGGTCACGATTTCGCTAGCACCAGCCAGCTGGAGTTGTTCTTGCTGTCGTCACTAACCCTCGGCCTCTGTCGTTTTCTTTTTCGTCCTCACGACGTCCTCACCACGTGCGGGTATAGGTCACCTGTACGAGGGCGAGACTGTGAGCATGTCGAGGCGAGGATTCCGCACGTCGTGCGGCGAGGTCACCGCGGAGTCGTTGATTTCTTCAGTTGAGTTGATGGGTTGATGGGCAGTGCGATGTATGATCAGTCAGGTAAACCATGATCAAATTCGTGTTCGTTTTTCAATGGATGATGGATGATGATGGTATTCTCTGGTTTTTTCGCGTAATGCAATTGCTAGTCGCGCCACAGCCTGAGTGCTTGGCCGCTTGGCTTTGACTTTGAGGCCTTCGACAAGCGAAGCTTTCTGGATTTCAATGACTTGATGGAGCAGAACCGCTGGTGCGGTACTTTGTCCCACTTGACTTTTAACAAGTTACCTAGGGTCTGAGACTACGTATTTCACGGTTTCCAATTTCATCTCACCTGTGTGTGTGTGTTGTGGATCATTCTGGGATAGCAACATCTCTACAGAACTGGGTGGTGTGTTCACCTGGTGTTCCTCAGCGTCATGCACTTCTTTCGTTTCGGCACTGCACCTCTCATGCCCACTTGGCGCTCCCTCACGACCGAGGGGGGTCGAACTACTGAGCTCCGAGGTGCAGATTAACGAAGAGATGGAAGTGTCCTTTCTGTTGCGTTCTTAGTGACCAGCTGCATTTAATGTATACTTGATTTACTTCATGTTATGAATAATTATGAATTTATGGATATTTATGGTCTCGTCTGTGCTGGCGCTTGAAAAACCATCAGAATCCCGAACACAGGTGACAGGCACATCCGCACCAAAGACCTGGTAACGGCGGCTGATGTACAGGAAGTGTCCGGGCCGTACTTCCACTGAAGTCAGTGATTGCCAAAGCAAGGCTGGAAACTAGTGAGCGGATGTGAGCAGTGTAATTTCTGGGAAGATTCAGGTTGGACGAGGCTAAGCTCACCCACTCAGATGCGCAGGGAGCTCAATGCTGTGGACTAGAATGACTGGAACATATCATCTAGAATGAACTATCCAGTGGATCACCCAACCTTGGAGGACCTTCGCTGTGCTGCATCCGGACGGGCGCCTGTCACTGCCGTCTTCCAAGTTGAAGCCTCAGCCATCGAAGGGAGCCAGCAGCGTTGAATGATCATAGATAGAGCTGAAAGACACAGAAAACGTTGAGAAGGCTACTAGTAACAAGTGCCACGCTAGTAGTAACAGGTGCCTTAATAGTAGTAACAATAAGCTACTAGGAACAAAGCAAGGAAAACAACGCAAAACGTCGAGAAGGCGATGGCCTCCCCCCTAGTAGCGATGGCCTCCAATTCCATTTGGGCACACAGGTCGCTGCAACCTGCGGAGCCCGCAGCTGCCAAGAGCTTAGATGTCTGTCAAGCTAAGCTAGCTGGGCTTGTTGTTCGCCATTGTGTTCGCCGCTATTTCAAATTTATTCGGCCTGGGCCTGTGCGATAGAAAAAGAAGTTAAGCTGGATGTGTTTGAGGGAATTTGGGGACAAAATGTTGGATGACCCGCCATCGTTGGGATTCGAAGGTCGACAGCGACGAGGAGACTTGCCCACAGCACCAAGAGCACGAAGAGCCCAGGGCACAGGTGGCACAGCCCGCGGAAAAAAGAAGTTGTGCACCTGAGACTGCGGGGAACGCAAGGCGGGGCTGCACACATTGACCAATTTGCACCTTGTCTACACGAATGTAGAACTCACCTGGCGGATGCTGCAGGGGTCAAACCACCCGAGATGCTGTGTATGTTTCCAGGCGCTCTGAAGGTGATGTCCGCTCGAGGACCTCCAAACGCGGCTTGGAAAGAGCATCCAACACTCCAAGGGGAAAGGCCAGGTAACCAGAGGTGGGCCAGGTGACCAGAGGTGGGCCTGGGGTACCACCAGACCTGGGGCGAAGTGATGCGAAGTGACCCTGGCAAGGCGTCCAAGAAAGAGAAGAAAATCAAGAAAGCGGCCTTAGCTGCCGCCAAGGCGACCCAACACGACCGGTGGCGACCGATGGCGACCCTTGCGCTCAAAAAACACATGCGAAACGGGGCCAATCGTTTGGTTGGTTGGATCCAGTCACCTGCAGGCAGCTTGGGAGCGACAGCTGAGCCCCCAGTGGGGCCCGCTCACTCGCTCAGTTGAGCACGAGCCGATGGCGAGAAAAACCGAGGAACGAGAAGCAGGGCAGTATCCTCTCATATTGCCAGGGGCTCCCAGCGGTCGCACGATCGGCCGGCACAACAGAAATGATCCGTTCGGTGAGATCACCTTCACCTTCGGCCTGCGATGCATGGTCGGGTCAGTGTTTTGGTGCATCCACAAAGGAAAAGACCTCCCCAGGGAGTTTGGTTGAAAAAACACTGATTTGCTGGGATTTGTTGGGTTGCTTTGAGGCTCGAATGCGAAGACTGGCCTGAGACCCAGTTCCAGTCCGAACGGTGCAGGGTGCTTTTCGAAAAGTACCTGTGAGGCGACCTCGCTCAGACGCTGGTGTGACAGGCGAGAAGTAGCGCGAAACAACCAAACAACTTTACATGGTTGGGTCAGAAAGCCAAAACTAGAGACCGCTGCGCTGGATTCTTTGTTGACGACCGATGTTCTTCGCCATGCGCTTTTCCACGGAGAGTGATCCATCCCTGTCAGGTGAATGGAAGCATTCACGGGGACCTGTCAGGGCGTTGCTGCACAGCAGGTCCGCTGCGGCTGCCTGGTTCAATGTTTGGCTTTGCAGTTCATATTTTGTGCAGGCCTTGGGAAGGAGGGCAGTGCTGGCGGTGCTGTGAGCGGGTGACATGAGGGAGAGTCTGCAAAAGACAAAAAGCTATGCGAGAGAGAGAGAGAGAGGGAGGGCTTGAAGCTCTTGGAAATGGGTTGCCCAACATGCATTCCAGTACAACTGCGTTCTTTGTGACATTGCCTGGCTCAGTTGTAAACTGCAAAGGTGGCAGGTGCATCTCCTGCTTCTCACAAATATGGTGAGAAGACACTTGCAGGGTCTAAAGCTAATCGCGCTGAGCCAATGCTTTCTTTTGGCCTGGCTGGTTCCAAGAGAATCTTTCCTTGGAACCCCCACGCACAGATCCTCCAGGGCGGTGGAAGCCCGAAGGTCGGTGGTCCGGCATTTCAAGAATGCTCCCGAGGCCGAAAAGCCCAAGGATGGATTGGAAGATGTGTGGCGATACATTGGCGGATGGTATGAGATCAAGAAGGTCGACGGGAAGCTTTTCTTCCGTGAGAACAACCTGCAGGGAGAGTTGCTGCCACAGGACGATTGGTTAGTGGCTGAGCTCCCTCCATCTGGCACCATCCGTCTTAAGCTTGGCTCTTCAGGTGAGGAGGTTTTGTCCAACTTCAAGCCTGCAGATGCTGATGCCTGGGGTGATACCATCACCGCACTCAGGGAGTGGGAATCGCTCACGGACCGCACCGAGACCTTGAAAGGCACCTTACAAACCGCGACCTTCGAGGGCACCGCCGACGGGGTCACCGTGACCGTGGACGGACGTCAGCGTCCGGTGGCTTTGAGCATCTCAGAGGAGGCCGCCGGACAGCGACAACTCGGTGCCCTGATCAGAGAAGCGCACTCCAGCGCGGTGGAGACTCGGTCCTGTCGTCGACATCACGGAACCGGCGGGGGGGGGTGGTTTCTGTTTGGGTGCCCAATAAGGGCCAACAGGAATCAAAAGGGGGCAAACAGGATCAAAAAGAGGCAACAATGGGTACCATTTTACAGTAGACATATAGTTGATTTTAGAATACACATGTAGAGAGAGGTGTGTTTTTTGTGTCGTTCTTTGTCACGGTGAGTCTGGGACAAGTGAGGATAGATCCATGGAGGGGATGACTGAGAACCTCCAGGAACTCTATGCTTCACACTTCACTGCGAAAAAATGAGGCTCTCGAGCCTCGCGGACCTTCTTGGAAGGACTCCTTCAGGACGGCAGATGTTGTGTGACTGCAATCGATGCAGAAAAAGCCCAACAGAGCGCTCCGGGAGGGTGACTGCCAGACTGTGGGACTCCGGACCTTTGCAAGCCTTCCCACTCCCTGAAATAAGCATGATTACGTGGATGGCACCAGCATGCACCTGCTGTTGCTGTTTGGAACATGTTCATCCTTTAGGCATCCACGTTGGCCCATGATTCCGGCAGAATGTATGTTGAAAATGACATGAATGCCTGGCGGCTCAACACAGGTGGCACAGCGTACTGGTGGCATGCCCACTCACATGCCCACTCCCGAAGAGGGGTTTGGTCGGCGAGGCAAAACACCGCGCAGCACCAAAATACACACACATATCAGAGCAGGGCTTTTGTATGGCTTTGTGCTACATTCCCGTAGTAAGGCCTAGTACCTTTGAACAAGGAACAGTTCCAAGGGGCGCAAAGGCACACTCACAGCCAGAGTTTGGATGTGATTTGGCAGTTTTGGGCGTGGGATGCTGAGCCCTTCCTGCCATTGAACGCTTGGCGGTGTGATGGGACGCACGTTTGAGGTGAGATGTCTGTGCCAAGTTTGGAAGATCTACTGGTTGCAACCTTGGGCAAGATTTGCAACCTGATCTTCGGACTGTGTCGGTGAAGTGGTTGGAAGGTGCATGATGATAAAACACCTTTTAATGTATTTTATATAATACTGTGGCAGTTCTGAAAGCAGCAACGAAGTCTGACAAAATATAAGATGAGCAGTTCAAATTCCTTTGCACGTGTCGTATCGTGTCGTGAAAAGAACTTGTGTGATTCTTTTTTTCGCACAGACGGCCGCAGTGGTGACAGACGGCCAGAGTGGTGACGCGAGGCTGAATTGGATCGGCAAGAAGAGTTGGAAGCCATTGAAGAGGTGCCCACTCGTGAAGAGCATGTCCAGAGCTGAGCTGTGGCATGTTCAGGCGGGCTATGGCGTCACAGATCACAAATTGGATAGCACACACCACAACAACATTGTAACAATCCAGGCACATTCGCCAGCGTGTTGTCATTGTTTTTCCTTGAGCAATCTCAGCCGCAGAGAGTCCAAGGAAGAAGTCCCAGTTGGTCCGGAAGGAGTTCGTCCACACGAGCAGGAAGGAGGAAGTTCTGCAAGCCTGGGTCTTGTCGTTGGCCAGTTTGGGGCTCCCCCTCTTGGGCTCCCCATCTTCCGCGCCTCTGAGGTGCTGCAGTAAGAAGAAGGCTTGTGGCTGTCGTGATGGCGTCAACCAGAAGCCCATGGCAGATCTTGCAGATCCTTTTGAGATGCAGTTCGAAAGATATATATATATATATATGTGCACAGTATGTTGAATCATCGTTGTGGAAGAAGTCCACAGTATGTTGCATCAGAGATGAACCGTCTTCCTCAAGGTGTTTTTTTCTTTTCTCGTTCTAGGAGGGGTGGGCGCTTTTCGGACATGGTGGGCTCTGGCAGCTGACGCCTAAGAGTCGTGGTTTTGTCGGTGTGGCTTTCGGAGTGTCGCAGCTTCTGCGTTCAGGTGGAGCCACACCACCGCCTGGACCACAGCGTTCCCAAAATTTCCCAAAAACGGTTTGTCTCGGGATAGGGGAACAATGGCAGATGGGATACGAGGGATGCAGGGGCATGCAGATGAACAGCATATGATCCGATAAAGGGCACCGCAACCCATGGAAAATCCAGTTCCGACCCGCTCCAAGCCATCAGTGTCTACCCGAGGCCTAAAGCAGAGAATCCAGTGTCCATCGGAATGCTGCAGAGAGATGCTTGCCATTTTGAGACTCAAGATGGTGATGCCTCCACACGTGATGATGAAAGAAGTCCTCACACCAGCTGGACTGGTATGTCCGGTCAAGCAGCTCAGGCCAGGAGAACTGCACAGCCATGCACAACGAGATGTTTCTAGCCACGGTTGGTCTTCTATGTCTCAGGAACATCACCGGTCCGAGGAGTATGGCATTCACAGCTCCAGTTCTGAGGACATCGGAGACACTTTTGTTTTCGCAGGGCTTTCTGTGGTGCCCTGAGCTGCGTCAGGAGGCCGAAAGCTTGCCAAGAGTCAAAGTCCATCTCTCAGATGGAAGAATAATACCAAAATGAATCCGAATGCTGTACAATACTCTAACATGAATGAGGGATAGGCATCACAAAAAAAGATCATCAAAAAGAACACTGCTTGGGATCAACGAATAAGCTGTTTGGTCCCCTGGTCCCTTGGTCCTTGATCTCTAGGAGCAAGCATAGGTGAAGAGTGAGGAGCTTGCAGGTCCCACGCGACAAAGGACAGACGTCAGGATGAGGCCCACACCCTGTTTGGCCACTTCAGAACAAAGTGAGGAATGGTTCCACCTTTGCCCATTAGTGAGCACCCGAGGGTAAAGCTTAGAGCAGCTTGCGTTGGTGTTAGCGTTGTCCTCACTGGCCCCGGTATGCATACATGGCGTATGTGAGCCGTTCCAAGCATTTGGAGATTGTCATGATGCAGACACCGATGCTCTCACATCATCATCATGCTCACCGTCGTCGCCAGACATCACAATATCAACATCACACACACACACGTTACCGTATATAACGCCATCATACACCACATCATCATAGCACTTGTCATTGCATTTCATATTTCTAAGATTTCTTGAGGGATTCGAGCCTTCTCCTCTTACTGCTGAGGTCCGTTCGGGTCACACTGTTTTTACCCTTCTCACAGCACACGTTCGCAGGTTCTGCATGCTTATGGCATTATGGGGGGGTTCGTTGTGCCCTCCCCCTCAACCCCCTCCCGCACCATGAAGTCTGCACATGCCACTCCGGCTTTGCCACGAAGCCTGTTCTCATATCAGGGGTTTTGTAGGTGTTCTTCATGTTAATTACTTTTTGCCCCAGTTAGCGAAAGCTATTGGGGTTCTTGCTTCAAGCTTAGGGAAAGGTGTTTGTGTTTCCTCTTTGGGGTTTGGGTGCCACTGCAAAATTGCCGCTGCCCACTCCGCGGGGTGGAGTTTTGCTGGCGTCGTTTTTGAAACATCTGTGTCATATGGTCTTTAGGAAACGAACCCAACGAACCCTGTTGTGGCCCCAAGAGACTTGACACGGCCAGCTGGGGAACATGTGAGGGGTCCATTCTACAGCAAGCAGGAGCCTTTTTGCGGTTTTACACGTCCGTTGGTGGGCCGGAGCATATCATTCCAACCATGAACCGCACACGCTCGCTTTGCAACCCACCTCGGGCCAAAATTGTTTAACAAACCTTACACCCCCCGTTTTGGGCCACTCCAGTGCAAAATGTAGGGCAGCAAGGAGATATCCCAACCTCAATGCACCCTTTGGTGGGCCACGTGCTGGTTTAATTTCAAAGCCATTCCAACCTTGTGCACCTTTATGTGCATCAAGCGGGAGCCACCCTTGTGTGGGCCTGCCCGAAGCGGGTGAAGCTTCCAACAAACCTGACATTCCCTTTGTTGGGTGCCCTAGGGTGGCTCAGGAAGCTACAGCGGTTCAGGAAGCTTGGGATCTTATGTTATCATTTGTGGATCCCTCACCCTCTAGAATGGTGATGCCATGAAGCTACAGCTATTTGGTGTTTGGCTTTGCAGACATTCTTGAAATGTTGTATGTTTGACCTGCGATCCTTCCTCCGCTTGGTGCCTTTCTTGAACGCCCAGGCACTACTTTCGCACTTGGACCATGAGGTGTTGGATCCCGAGCGCCTGCGAGCTCAGGCAGAATTCGGCCCTATAGTATGATTAATATTCATTAATATTCGACATATGCATATTTGTTGCTATATGCTTTTGTCTATGAATTTTAGTGAAGGCGACGTCTCATTTCCCAAAGCTCTTGTTTGCACAAAGGCGTCAACTCCAAGTCCGAAGTACTTAAAACATGGTTTTTACCTGCATCGGATGTTCCTTTGTTTTGGCGGGGTTCAGGTCACTGAAGGTGAAGGCATGTTTGCTGTATGAACCAGTCTTGAACGTATAATATATACAATTAGGAATAACTATGACTATATACAGATCTCCCGTCGTTCTCGCTGGGTGAAATCTGGTGGAGCCTGGGGACAGGCAGAAGCTGCAGCCTTTGAGGAAAGACAAAGGCGCTGTCCGCTGTCATCGATCCATCTTCTCCCGTTGTCAGCGATGTCCGATGACCAGGAGGGCAAGAGTGGAGGCAGAAGAGCAATCCAAAGAGGTGATCAGACTTGCGGATCGTTTGAAATGATGAATATCCAAAAATTCCCAGCAAGCTGGAGAAGTGAAAATCAGCAAAAGGACGAACGGTAGACAAACTGCTTTGGATCAGACAACCGAATGTGCCGTGAAGCACAGGATGAACGGAGGCGCGTGGAAGCTGCTCGCGAAGCGTGGGAACGGCACCGCATGGCAGCCGAAGAGGCGGAGGCGGGGCTTGGATCCACTCCAGATGGCACAAGCACCCACCGCAAGCACTGGTACATGGCGGGGAATCCTAGCAATTATATAATATGTAATATTAATATATATCATATCAATATATTAATAGTGAAGTCCGACAGGGTTTTGGTAACGTCTCAGAAGAGCAGACCTTTGATGGTAAATGGATTTTTGAGATCTCACTTCGGAAGGAACGCCGCGATCGGGCCAATCGTCAAATGCTTGGTGCAGTTGATGGCCAGCAGGGTTTGCACATAGAAGCTCCGGATTTACTCTTTTGTACAACGGCTTTAGTGGATTGAGGCTATGCAATCCTTCTGGAAGAGAAGACACGCAAATTGGTGGAGCAGCTCGCTTGGCTGGGGTCGATGCAGCTGAATCATTCATCAGCTTGATGCCGCATTTTTCAGGAAGCAATCGTCAAAGAGGAAGAAAGTAAGAGAGGCTGGGTGAACTTTGGATCTCCCCACCTTTCACCACCACGTTATACACGAACGCTCTTCCGAGGATGAACGACGGGAGCGGCAGATCGAGAAGGCGGGTGCTGGTCTTGCGGTAGTCGACACACGAAGTCATTCACAAAACACCCAGAATGTAATGTTGGATCACTCCCAGGAGAAGCAGCGAGAGGAAAGAATGAGAAGTGCTGCGCCCAGAAGATAACAGCCACTCTGTTGGTGAGAGACGGCATTTGTTCACTGACCATTTCAATCACACCACCGTCTTCTGGCTAACGTGTGCCCGACATTGCCTGATGGGTTGAGGTGAAGCAGCAAAGATGTCAGAAAGAATCCGAAAGATGGCCGAGAATGGCACGCAGTGGTCAAGAGTCAAAACTGTCGTTTGATGATGCTTCCTGTGGGTCCTTGAACATGGTGCGTGTAGCAGAAGGAATGGAGGTTCCCCACTTTCGGAAGCTATGAAGAATCCATCAATTCTGAGCCCATTCACTGGGGCGGGGGGGGTCTTCCGATCTTGCATCTTCCGCCCGTCCCCCGTCCGGATACGTGAAGGATATGCTTTGGGACCGAGTGGTTGGGTGAGCCCGGTGCCTCAGAGTTGGTCACTCTCAGTGCCACCCAAAACGGCGCGAACGGCCGCAGAACCGATGCCCGAAGCGTTCGGAGGACTGGACTGGCTGTCGAGTCCAGCAGATTTGGGGGATCCCAACTTCCAGGCCCATGGCATCGCGAACCGAACAGAGCGTTCGGACGCGACGAACGGGGGAGCTCCTGGCCTTACTAGGAGCGTTCGGACGCTACGAGCGGAACAAAGGGCATTGTTACGAGCGGAGCAGCCTTGCTTGCTCGCGAGTTCGTTCAGCGGAGCGGGGACGTCCAGTCGGCGTGAGGTTTTTTCCCACGGGTGGAACCGCACTCTTGCCGCGTGAGGCGGTCCAGGGGCCCATGCAGGTGGAGGAGCCCCTTAGATCGGCAGTTTCATGGCCTCAGCCAGAAATGCATTCAAAAGCCTTTACGATTCTATAAATCAAAGGATGAACAAAGGTCTTTCCAATCTTATCTTGTTGGTTCCTGTTGCTTCTTGATGTGTGGAGACTGTTCGATCTGCAGGAATCAGTCACTTCGAATTGATTGCATTTTTTCTCGCTTTGCTCCAGGAGACCAAAGACGAAGGGCCTGAAGGCGTTGGATTGGCCTCCCAGGATCATTCAGGATCAAATGGAGCTTAGACACCGATTCAGATGAAGATGGCTCAAAAATAGTTGAGACATGACATAGGGTGGCCACATAGAGGCACCACGTAGGTAGCTGTGACACACCTAGCTGCTCTAGCTTCATCAGCAATCAAGTTCAATTGCTGCGACGTAGACGCGACAGGTGAACAAATCGTGTGTATATTACTACAGAGATCTATAGAGAACACGAACCTGTCTTTTTTCTTGCAGATGATGGAACTGACAACGAGCCCTATGATCCGTTTGAGGCAGTGGAGGGCCGGTATGCGATTACCCAAATCTTGGCATTTGTTTTTAATGTTGGCAGGTAGTGGACCAAAGACCACAACGAGAAGAAGATCAGAAAGCTCCTGAGGTTGGATTTGGGCGTGCATCGAAATAGCAGCGAGACTCCCCCAAAAAAAGGACCGGAAAGAAAGCTAAGCAGACTAAAACCATTCCGACCTCACTGGCTGGGGGGAGCACATGATGGCATTCGTAATGGTCTCCCTATGGTTGATCCCTACAGGTTCCCTACTATTTTAACACGGCTCCACTTTTGTTATCCGTCTCGTGAAAGACATTTCCAGGCTCTGGACCTGGAGGATGTCCTTGCAGACTTGGACCAGAAGCAGATGGAAGGTCACACTGGCGCTTGCCGGTTGGAAAAAACGGTTCTATCAAAATCCACATGATGTTGTTTGTTTTTCGCTTCAGCCATGGTCTCGCCATATCGATCAGAAAGGGCCACAACAATGATCAACAATGAACAAAGACGCACACACACACACACCCCAAAAAAAGATAGAAGAAAGACATGGAAGAAGCTAGATCAGAAATTTGTATCCATGCAATGACCCTACTCTCAGTGCTTGGCCAAAAGGTATGGCCTCTGGAGCCCAAGTTGCAGATCTGGACACAGTGCCGGAACCTTGATGTTCTCGGTTTGCAGAAGGATATTGAGCATGCGCCAGCTAGGAAATGAGTCAGATAGGAAGGGATAGTGGAAGGAAGATGTTTTATATAGGCATGGGAAATTGCCGGGTGGATGCAAGCAAGGGTTCCTCCTAAGATTTGGAAAGACACTGTATTGTTCCCGTTTGGCAGCACGGAAGAACTGAAGAACGAGCCGAGACAATTATATGATTATAGTGATTTAGTCTCATTATGTTTGACATGTCTCATTTGTGCGGCTGTCTTTTTGCCCGATGAGCACGTAGTTGAGATCCAGCAGCTGTGATCCCGATTTGTGCTCAGTTGCGTTGGGACATATCCAGGCTCAGCATCGTTGAAGCACAGGAAGAAAGGGACTTGGCTGTCGCTGCTGCAGTTGAAGTGAGGCCTGGCTGGCTGGCCTTTAAAATCAGCCGGCTAAACGGTTGAAACAAGCGAGAAAGGAGTGTGCCCGAAGCGACAACTTTTTTCGGCCTGATGCTGTGTGCTTTGCTCAGGCTCAAGAGGTTTGATCATTGTGATATATGATATATGGTGATCTATATGCTATGATCTCTTGTTGCAAACCACCACGCCATGAATGAAGAATATTTTAGGGACATCCTTGGACACTGATGGTGCTACACCTCACCTTGCATCGACATCGAAGCCCTTCACACTGTTGCCAGGCAGGGCTATGAGAAGCTAGGAGAAGTGGAAGAGGAGCAGGACGGGCCTCCCTCGACAAAGACCAGCGTGCTTTTGAGCCGAAAGACAGAACAACTCGCAAGATGAAATCTCGGAATACCTACAAATACTTGTAATGATCATTTTGTATCGCAATACTTCATACGACTTCCCACTATACGCCAAGTCAGTTGTTTGCATCCGGGTTTGCGTGTGCGAGTCCGGGAATCTCTCCGACCGATCATGGGCGACAGGACGACCTCCCGCAAGACGCCACCGAAACCGCCACCAAAGTGCTGCGAGTGGCGCAGACCCGAAGGTGCGAGGGCTCGCGAGGGCTCGCGAGCTGCAGAGGAAGAGCAGCGGGATTTCTTCAGACATCCACGCCCAAAACCATCCAAAACCTAAAACAGTCAAACTGCGTTTGCGGATGATGCTTGCAAGCCCAAGCATCCAGACCTTCTTCCTGAAGTCATTTTCGACCTTTCCGTGGCAATCACAACAGAAAGACAGCATCGCGACAATGCATACGATGCGCTGCAAGGCCAGATGGCAACTTCGGTGGAGCCATAAATGCAGAAAGTTCTTTAAAGCAGGGCAGCTTAGTCTTCATGTCAAACTGGCTTAGTCTTCACAGGATTCCAAAACGGCAGCATTAAAAATTAGAAAGATGAAAACCTGATAGAACCCACGAACCCGAATGCAGTCACTTTGTATAGAAGCGTAGCACTCAAAGCGTTCTTGTTTTCGGAGATGACTCGCAGAGTCATCAACTAAAGCATCGCCAGCACCTCCCCAGCCGTCTAGACACTCTTTCTTGACACACTTTGCTAGACAATCTTTCTTGACACGTTCTCTTGACACTCTTGCTTGGCACTTTTGCTGGATACTTTTACAGGACATTCTTGCTTGACATTTTTGCTTGACACTCTTGCTGGACACTCTTGCTTGACACTCTTGAAAACAAGCATTTTTCACGAGACTTTCACCAGAAGCGACAATCGAACTTCCAAAAACGAGCATTTTCCGCGAGACTTTCTCTTGCTAAACAGTCTAGCTTGAAACTCTTTCTTGACACTCTTTGCTAGACAATCTTTCTTGACACTTGTTCTTGACACTCTTGCTGGACACTCTTGCTTCACACTCTTGCTGGACA